GATATATTTAATTATTTAAGCATTAAATATTGACACTATAAGAAAAGAAAAAAGCATGAGGAGAAAATCATCCCATCATACAGCAATTTGACAGCATTAAAAGCTCACAGTGAAAGGGGGAAATAAATGCTGTGTTGAGAAATAGAGGAATATATGTGTTCTTAGCTCAGTAGATTCTGCGTACATCAGGCTTTGGACAGCAATGTTGGGGATATGCATAGGTGCATGCATAGGTGGGATGTTCAACCTTTGATTACGTGTGGCAGCATTAAGCTTTTGTTTGGATTCATTGACTATTGAGACTTCCCTAGGAGAGCACTGTCCAGTGAATGAAATTTTCAGCCAACTGGCTACCTTTCATTTTTTCAGTCCTGGCACAGCTTAATCTCTTCTGTTCGTGTGTTACTACCAGATCTGAATTGCTGCGCTTGCATCTTGCCCAGTGTCATGTAGCACATCTGGAAATGTTGTGGTTTGCTGAATGACAAGTTGCACTCTTTTTTCCGCCTGGTGGTAAAGACAGCGCTGAAGCTGCTGCTGGTGTTTGTGGAGTATACCGAATCCAATGCACCGCTTTTAATCCAGGCAGTATCTACCGTTGATGAAAAGAGAGGTGAGTAGCTTTCCTTGGGGGGTGCAAAATCCCAGCACCGCTGAGATCGGGGTGGCATTTCATCGTTGATTTCAGTGGTTCTAGGGTTGCTGTTGTGATGCCTGCTTTGTGCGACATACCCTTCATTTCTTGATTAAAAGCATATTTTAAGTATTCATGCAATGTAAGATCGTTTTGAGGAATGAGTTATAGTGGGAAAGTGAAGAGTGAAAAGCCGAAGAACCCGGCTGCCTCCCTGTGCACTGCAGTCATTGCCCCTTCCCTGCACCCACGCGCAAAGTGAGCCCCATTACATCTTCCAACCTTGGAGGCTCTTCAGGCCAGGCTGTCTTTCCACGTCCTTCTGAGAAGCAGCAGTCTGATTTAGAAGAGAAAATGATATCTAATCAGTGTAATCCCTTTGAAGAGAAAGACGAGGTTAGTAATAGTACAGGCTTTATAGTAAAAGTAAAACCATCTGTTGTTACATTAAAATAAAGCCCTTGAGCAGATATTATACTATGAAATCTGTTACCCTTCAGGCTCTTGAAAAATACTTGAATATGTATACTGTATTTTTTACAAATAAATAGAACAAAAATGGTTCTTTCTTGTTCTTCCCACAAAGCCATTGCTAAGCTCCTGGGGCATTCTCTCTTGATGCAAAACATTCCTTTGGCTCAAGGAGAGTTTTTGAGGTTGGGAGAGCCATTGTTGTGGTCTCAAACACATGGAGGTTGAAAGCAAGATCCCCTCTGTGGAGCAACTGCCTCCATGCTGAACTTGTTTGAGCGACTTGATATGGTAAAAGTGAAACAAAAAAAGTTGGGGGATGGGGAGAAGGGTGGTGCCAGAAATAGGAGAAACTAGCCAGGTTTTGCTTTCAGCTATCAGCATGAGTGTGTTGAAAAGACCCAAAAAAACCCCAAATTGTCTCTTACGGCAGGGGAGCAGATGGGGCAATTCAAAACCAGTGTAACACTTTGAACGGTGGACTCTTCAGGTTGGCTTTCTGTTTTGAATTAAAACCAATAAACCTTACAATGCCATAAGCAGAAATGCAATTACAATATTCATGCATTTGTGAGCACCATGATTTATTTTTACAGTCGTCCTTAGTATTTCCTGAGCTCTCTGAACTCACTGGTATTCTCAACATGCTCAAATTGTCATCTGTTCACATGCTAGTAAACCTTATTAAAGAAAAAAAAGACAGCGAAAGGAGGACCCTAAACACACTACCATGCACTGTGTATTCCCTTCTGTGTCTGTAAAACAGCCTCAGGCAAACATTTACATGCCCCAAAGTAATAAAACAACTTCAGTAACAACAGAAAACGTGTGAAAAAAAGGTGACGCATGTAGTTAGATGGATACTTGTTAGGAGCATGAGGAAAGGGTTTATGGGAATTCTCATACCTGTGGGTTGGCAGATTGTCTCATGAACTTAGCCCCAAATACCCAGTTTTCCTTCCTTCCTTTTTTGTTTTAATTATTAAGCAGTTATGCTTAGCTACAAAAGGGATTTTTTTTTTCCTTGTTTTAGACTTAGTTCCTTTTTTAGGTCATCAGTGTAATAGCCCTTCACTTCTGGCTGTGGATGTGCTGTTTTAATTTACATTTTGAAATTAGTGGCTTATAACTGAAGAGCACCTGTCTTTAATGACTGATTGAATGGAACAGAAACATAGAGGAAGAAAAAGCTGTGTGCCTTTTCTTGAAATGTTGTCATAAATCTTGCAGGTATATAATTAAGTTTAGCACTGCTTTGAAAAAAGTCCAGTGTTTCATGTACATACAAGGTGATGAGATATGACATAATTCCTCAACATGTGTACCACACATGATTAACATAAAGAACCCCATAATAACTCAGGCTGGTTTCAAAGCGATCCCATCTGTGGTTTCTATGCAAGAATACATCCATATGCAAACTGAAGTACAGAGATCCATGGAAGTGCCGGCTTTACTCTCAGATACAAGCAGACCGTAAGTGAATAACTGTATCGCCCTCGTCATATAGGAAGTGGCTTTTAGTTATACTTCCATCTAGATCCCCCTTCCCCCGCCCTTTCTTGTTTCAGAGCCCCACAGGAATTTGGTCTCTTTTCAGTTTAAGCATACCGGGACTGTGCGGGCTCTGGAAAGCAGAGCTGGCATTGCACTCTGCTGTCTGGGGCTGCTTTATCACGAGCATTTTTTAGGACAGAGATTAAAGCTCTGTGGCTGACCTGGACACTGTCACATACTGTTTGTGAATTCTGACTTCTTGTTACATTATTTGTAAACGGCCCATATTACCAGTATCTCCACATTTCCTGCCATTTCGCACAGTTAGCTATCCAGTAAATTAATGCCCATGTTGTAGGTACGATAGAAGGCTGTATGTTCACACATATTTTAATAGCCAGGAATACAAGACGTTGAGGTCTTTCCAAAATTATTAATATCTTTCCATCCTATGGCAACTAAGAGACAGGCACTCTGTGAGTTGGTGGCAGTCCTCATGTACGGTTCTGGCCTGATGGAAGGCTTTCCATGGTTTATACATAATGTGCATGTCCTGTGTAGTTGTGATGTCAAGATTTGTGTAAGGCATTAAATAATTTTTTTTTCCTGAGATTCATATGTAAAAACATTTAAAGGGGAAACTGAGAAAAGACTGAGACTTAGAACAACGGGCAACATTATTCAGTAGACTGTATTAATTTAATATAGGCTTAATTATTGCAACCCCATAGTTCTCCCTGTGTTTTTGATCCGTGCATGACTACTTGGAGTGTTGTAGTAGCATCAGGGTTGAGGCTCCAGCCTTCCTGTCGGAGTAGCCACGATAATGAGCTGTTACCAGTGAGAAGCCTGTGAAAGGCAGTCGAGCAGTTCTCGTTTCACCCATTAGAAGGCAGGAGAACACACACAAAACTCGACCTTTGCTGTTTTACTTCGGTGAGCCTGTTTCATCAGTCCCATTAGTTTTGCTGCGAGGCCTGCATGGAAGTCATAACCTTATGGGAACATCCCAGTCTGCTCCCAGAAGAATTGCTGGGATGCTACATCATCGTTCTTTTACATCATCATTCTTATACATCACAATCGGGTGGAGGAGACAGGCTGGAAAGTAAACCTTTTTGAGAATTGGCAAGCGTAAATGATTACACTTACTATTTTTAAAAATAAACTCCGTAATATACAAATACTAAATGGATTTACATTTTTTTACTAGAAATACATATGTGTTGCCAAACCTAGATTTGAGTTTAGGCTTTTCAGGATTTGTTACATTCTGACCATTACACAGAAAATGGAAGCTGTAGATTTTAGCTCTGCATAATAGTTTCCTCAGAGGTTCCTCCTCATCTATAAATGGAGAGCTTTTAATATTGTCCACAATACAAATAACCTTTTAAAGGAAAAGGGAAAATATACATCATGTTTTTCATATCTCTTGTGTGAGCATCATTGTTTTACTACAGCAGCCAATGAGTTTAGAAAAGTCATCAATTTTTTTAGTGTATGATTTTCCAAGGTATCTTTCACAAAGTTTTTCTATGCAGCTTGAAAGGAGAAGCAGTTTTTTTGCTGTCATCCTATCATTAAAAAAATATTGCCTTGAAAATTATTTTTTTCATGCAGACTCCAGCCTGTGGTCTCATCTTTAAGTGGTGACTCTCCAGGAACAACATATTTGAAATGCCAAGCTCAGGGCATGAGAGTGGATGAGAGCAGACACCTGCTGTAGATCTGCCCATATCCCATGCTGTCCGGATCAGTTGGAAACTATAGGCTCTCATTATATATTAGCAAGGAATATTAACCCAAGTATAGTAATGCAGTAAGTTCATGGTGCAACTTCCACACCAGAACTGCCTTGTCTCCGGGTGGGTTATTTCCGTGTTCACTCCTTGGCTGTTCGGCTTGAGATCATCATGAGGAAAATAGCATTTGAAAAGAAAGGTTTAATCTGGTACAGATTGGAGTACCTCTATCGAAGTCATTGATAGTACTGCCTCCTCTTGATATTAGTTAGGGAATAGATGAAGAATTTCAAATTCAAGGCTAGATTTTGGAAATTGCCTAAGTTTAATAGCAGCACCTTAATTAAAGCCTTTGAAAGATGGATGAGCTATTACAAGGCTGCCTTACTAGTAAGTGTGCCTGATTAACAATTCTAAAGAATTGTATTCTGAAACAGAGAAGCAGCACGGGTAGAAGAAAATTATATATCATCCTTGCAGGAAAACAGCCAGGCAATCCTGAAAATATTCTTTTATGATAATGGAGAAGTATCAAGACATTCAGGCAAAAAAAATCAAACACCAGGATGCTGTCTTTAAAAAACAAAACAGGATTGTTCCAATAAGAATAAAACCTGCCTGCAAAATAAAGGCATGTTTCCCTAGAAGGACTCTCACGGAATAATGCAGGATGGATTAAATAATTAATTTTGTATGTTGTTATCAACTCGCTTTTTTCTAAATGGCATTGTTATAAGTCAGACTTGCATGGTTTCCCCATTTTGTCTCTCTTTCTTATTTTCTTCCATTTTTATTTTTCACTGGAAACCACAGGAAGACATTTTTGTAGTG